TTATGAATGGCATCATTTATTTTGTAGCCTCAGCACCTCGGCGATGGACGTCCGGTAACTTAGCAACTACCGCCTCTCATTCAACATTAAAGAGGGGTAACGTGAGACGACCCGGCGGCCTCGCTCCGGGAGAGCGACAGGGATTTGTTACCGACACACAACCCACATTTTCCCTCAGTCCAACAAACAGATTGATGACTCCTTACCTGTAAACGTGTGTGTGCATTAAGGGCCGCTTTGACATTGAGATTGTATGCAAGATTATGTTTTTCTTTAAGTTCTTATTAATGTAAAATCTCAACCACTCTGAGCAGCATACTACGAATGTCACCAGCAGATAAAATCTAGAACACCGTTTTTAAAACATGGGAAAGAGATTTGATCCTTTGGCCCTCTTAGGTCACATGTGTCCAGGGGGACTTTATTGTGAACGCGCAAGTAAAATGACACCTCGCCCTTTCATCCTCGCAAAAGCCTTGTATTTTTTGCTCCGGGAGGGGCTATGAAGGCTCTATACTAGGTCTACACTGTTCACATATATGCACACACTGGTACCCACGATCACCACCTCAGAAAATGATCCATTTTCCACATTCATAAAGAACTGACCCTTCTCCTGGCAGTGTCTCACATACCTTGTGTTGGTGGTGAAAGACGGAGTTCAGTTTCAATGCCATGAGCAGATAAGCGTTGGTGTTTCCACCAAGTGACAATGAGGGGTCTGTGCTGCATTCGGAAGCAACTGTTCGAGACCGTTGAGGTCTCACGATGAGTGACGTTAAGAGATGTGACTTGGCATGAACACATAAACCCCTCTGTCTCACCTTGTTACGCAATGACCATCCAATGATCACATAATGTCGGAAAATAGCTATCAAATCTAAAAAAATGAAGTCAAAGAAGCACAGCATGGCTTTGGTGATCCAAAGCAAATGTTTGCTCAATAGAGAGGTACATTAGATGTGCTTTAAGGTAATTTATCGTTGTAGTGATGTAGCGATCAATGGCTGCCAACAGTGTTGAAGTCTGAATACAACGCTGACCTCGGGGAAACAGGACAGCGGTTACCTGAGAGCACGTTAATGTCTTTAGAGACATTGAATATTGTGAGGGACAGATAAAGTTGCAACGAAAGGGGAACCTGTGTCCCAGTTTTGAAACAGCAGCAGAAATGTGTACACAAGTCGTCACATGGTGTATGTGATACACCGAGGTCAACAGGTTGGTCAAATAGAATTGTTCATTTAAAAAACATTACAGGATGAATGTTCTAGACTAGACCCGTTTTCTCTTTGGTTGTTCTCGTAGGGTAAAAAGCACCAATATGTTGATAAATGCTTTGTTGTAAGAGTTTTGATAACACATTTGTTATTTGCATTTTCTCTTTGTCTTTACAGAAACATACTCAAAAAGTAGCGAAAGGTAAAACCCCAGAGAACAAGAGTTTTCCGATCTACCATCCACAATGTTAGTGCGGTCTCATTCAGAGAGAAGAGCCCTCCTTGGGTTCTCAGCCCTCTTGACACACAGCACTCCAAAACAGAGAGATGTGACCCTCCCACCTCCTCTATCCTTCACCCCACAGGTGTCCATCTTTACACCCACATCTCTTACTTCACTACCTCCCTGGGTGACTCAGGCCCTCTCCAACCTGGAGCAAGGAGAACGAGAACTGCAGAGCCTCAGGGAGCGGCAGCAGGCCGAGGTGGACGAGGTGAACCGTGAGTTGGACAGTGCTGCGATTGAAGCTCATAGAGAGGAGCGACGGCTTCTCGAGAAGGTGGAGCGGGACCACCGAGAGGCCCAGCGGCACCTCAGTCAGGTGAAGATGGAGAACGCTGCAACGGTGCGAGTTGTCCAGTCACTTGTTGACCAGCAACTTAGAAAAATTGGACAACTGAAGGAGCAGATACAAAGGTGGGGCGGTACCGCTGGTGGATCCAACAAAAATCAACTCCAAAGAGGAGTGGCAGAGGTCACCCAACCTTGGGAGATCTCTTTAACAATGAAAAGGGTCAGTTTCCTAACAAGCCCTGCGTCCAAGACCCTAAGCTTAGGGGAAATTGATGTTCGAGAGCAAAGTATGACCTACCCAATTAGTGTCTGTGGTGTCGAAGGACAGAAGTGTGCCTTGCACTCAGGGGATAAAGCATTTTCAAACAATACCCCTTTTGAAATTCGAAAGGAACCACAACAACACAGAGCTGGGCATCAGTACAGTCCAGAGGAGAGCAATACGGCAAACAGTGGGAACATGCGTGTTATCCGGAAACTACGTCTGTCAAGCTCAACAGAGAACGAGGACGATCTCAAATCCCCCACCTTAAAGTCTCCCGTACCAAGACGTCGTGGCGTGTCCAAGTCATCCCAAGACAAGGAAGTGGAGTCTGTGTGTTCAGACACACAGGGCCAAGACCTTTTCCTTGTTATCCCACCGGTCTCCAGTCAAGGAGAATCTGAAGGTGATGAATCTGATGGCAGGCAAACTGGTACAAAAAGACCCTCCACGCTGAAGGGTAAGAGGAAGCAAAAGGCCCTTGTCTTGGTCTCATATGAAGAACCATCCTGCCCTCCTGAAGAAACTGATGCAAAAAGCAGTTATGTGACAATATCTCCAAAGACTAGGCGCAAAGGTTCACTCTCCACGCACAGTCTTGTAGATCTTTCCACCAGACATCCACTTTCTAGACACACCCTACCAAAGAAAAAGACCTCAAATCAATCATCAATGGACAGTGGAAGCCCTCCATCCCCAGTGGACAGTGAGGATTCCTGTTACACCTATACTGTGAATACTCCAGTCAATGGATCCCTGAAGCAAGAGCACTACCGCTCAATGTCCACCACTGAACTCTCAGGTAAACTTTGTTCTTTGATTAACAGTGACAAGGATGAGCGTCGAGGAATCAGGAAGGTTTGCAGAATGCGTCTTGCCTCTGAACCTTCAACTCTTCAACAAGGTAATGGCACGGAATCTGACAGGAGCTCTAGTGAGCGACAATCCAGATCCCAGACTCGTGTTACACAGGGTTCAAGTTTAAACCGAGTGAGCAGATCTCTGTCCATGTCCGCCATTGAAGGAGACAAATTACACCAAGGCAAGGAATCACAGCAATACAACAAGGACAAGAAAGAGAAAGTTGTGCCAGCTTTGGGGGAACTGGAGGAAGAGGGTGGTTCAACTGCATTAGACTCAGCTTTTCTGGTCAAACAGTTTGGAAAACAAGGATCGGGTCGCGCTGACTTCAACCTACCAAGTGGCGTCCATGCAACTGTCAAAGGGCAACTATTTGTAGTGGATTGTGGAAACGCCCGCATTCAGGTGACTGATCTCCAGAAGAATGTTGTGCAGCAGGTGTCTCCTACGGGATCAGAAAGATCTTCCCGCATCTGCAACTACTTTGACGTGGCTGTGAACTCAAAGGGCCTCATTGCCCTGACCTGTGCTGCTGAACGAGCTGTGTTGGTGTTCAGCCGTCATGGACGCCTCCTGCAAACGTTTGGAGGCACATTGATTGGTTCAACCAACGAAGAGCTGGATGCTCCCAGAGGGGTGACTGTGACGCGTCAAGATGAGTTCTTGGTCGCTGACATCAAGCGTGGCACCCTAACTTCCCTCAAGCTGGACCCTAAAACCGGGGCCAGATTGGAGCGCACGGTGGTGACCGGGTACCACAGGCCCTACCTAGTGGCAGCCTGTCTCACGACTGGGCTAATGGCCGTGTCCGAACGAGGAAACGAGACTGGACGTGTCCCATGCATCCGGGTCCTGGAGCCCGGCTGGAACACTATCCGAATCCTGGGGGTGTGTTCTGGCTTGGGGCCAGTTCTGACCTGCCCTTGGGGTCTCTGCATTGACAACGATGGGGACGTCCTGGTGGCAGACTGGGGCAAGCAGCACTACCGTGTTCTCCTCTACCCATCTAAAGGTGTCGGCTGGCCTCTGGTGAACGACAGCCTGAGTAGCCCAAGGGGCCTGGCGCTGCTCCCTGATGGCCACCTGGTCGTGTCAGACAGCATGAATCATTGCATCAAGATCTACCGCTACAAGTGAACCACAGAGAATGTTGAGGACAGAGAAAGAAACAAACTCGTAGAGTCGAGAATAATTGATATGATAGGGCGAGAGGGTTAAATTTGTAATTGCAGGCAGAATAATATCCTTTTTCTTTGAGTGTAATGTACAGCCTCTACCTCCAACCAGCTTTATTTTGTCGAACACCATTGATTCGATTTTAATTGATGATGGTACTTTATGCTTTTTTCATCATAGCAGATTACTACAAATTATTTTCATCACATCTATTTAGTACAAAAGATACACATAGTGGATAAAAGTACTAATGCATGCTTTTAAATTACTCTCGAGTGTTGTTCTAATCTCGATTGATCTACAGTAATGTACACAGCCCATAATGCTGTGTGCCTGAATGATATTCAATGACATTTTGTGAACTATGGCCAAATTGCAAAACATTTCATGAATCAATAATCAAGACAAATTTGAGAAGTACAATCTATCGTGTAATCAGCAGATCAAACTATTGAGTTTGCTCAAGCTTGGGAGGGGCTTAATGATTTTTGTACTATACATTTCTCTGACTAAAAAGAATTAAACTTTGATTTAAATCTATTTGCATTATTCTGTTGTTACCGGGGCTATTGCCCAACCACACCTAACCTAAGAGGCTGGTTATTAGGCTTTTAGGTGTTTCTCTGGTGGCCGTGTTTACCCAAAGTGTGTGTATTACTAGAAAAGTCTTTCACCAAACAAAAACGATAGAACAATATGCCCCAATTTCTAGAACATCTATTTATCAAACAAAGCTAGGAGTGGGAACATTTTAACCGGAACAATCAATAACTTCATTTGAAATCCAGAGAGAGAGAGATTGTGAATGATCTTACTCATCGTTTTGCAACAACTAAAATTCCAATGTACACACACAAACACACAGTTACCCAACTTGTTACCTAACCCACACACATCAATATAAGAGTGTGCGGGCTTTGCACAGCTACAACTCTGTTCCACAGCCAGACTCCACATCCGAGGACTTCACAGCATGGAGCTGCTCCCCAAAACCCTGTTTCTGTGCTTAGCACTTGCCCTCACCAATGGAGGACCTGTGTGAGTATTAATGAACTCTTCAATCTTGAAATGAATTCACGCTCAAAATAGGTGATAGGTGCTCTAGCTCTAATTCTGATCTCGAGATGCTTTGAAATTTATTTTCAGTTATGTAGCACAGCATTATATGAGCATGTATCTATAAATACAGGGGGTACAAATAAAGTATAGCTTATAGTATAATGCAAACCGATACAATAACCCTGTAAATAGCTCCTTCAGAGTGCCAACTTTTGAGGCTGTGGGTGTGACTTTGGGTTTTTGTTTCATTGGATCACATTGAACAATATGGTGTTTCCGTTATTTTGTCCCCCCCTCTGTAATTTGGATCATTCCTACTTTCCTGTATTTTCTCCTCAGCAGAAACGTGCAAGTCACGGTGCATTCATGTCACAACTCTATCTGCTGGCTCCCAAAGGTCGCCAGTTGGATCGATGCAAACAAATACAAATACAGCGCAAAGCCGTTGCATAACTTTGGTGGCGTGTCACTGATTGACCCTCCTATCGTCGTGACTTAAGGATTTTTGGAAATGTAATCTGATACTATGCTGAACTGCAGAAAAATAAAGATCTATTTTTATCATCCACAGGCCGCCAAATGATACAGCAGTAGATGGTGGGTTTTAAATAAACATATTAATTCACAGCCCTGCTTTCTCACATAAACATTCATTTCTGTCCAATGATACACATATTCTGTATTTGCCAGTATTTCAGTTTTCAGTATTTCTGTTTAGAAGCTGCTCTACCAGACCGGTGTGAAGGCATTGAGTTTGATGCCGTCACTCCAGACGAGAAAGGAAACACTTTCTACTTCAAAGGTTTGGAATAATTCTATAAATAATGATGGACTTTATTGTCTTTTGGGGTTATTGTCTTTCTCCATTATCCTTTTGAACCAGGTTTGGTGTCAAATAGCTGATAACCTAAACCTAACCACAGGGGGGCGCTATGACTTTAACAGGAAGGAAACACTATTAAACGGGGGAACCGATTTCGACATAACATCGGTACCTGGAGAAGCAGTTCACATCAAAACAAACACATGAAAATGACACGTTTAGCATGTAGCAACATATTATTTCTGCACATCCACATAACGGGATGAAGCTCGGCTACACGCTCATGATACCCATTCTAACAGAAACGAAACGAAACTCCAACACCAAGCAACTAAACGAACACACGCTAACAGCGCGCGAAGTTGTGTTAATGTTGCTACTTCATGCTAGCCGCCCAACAATATGTCACTCTGAAAGTGTCTAAAATATCGTGTCCAAAACTAAACCAGCAGCAAGAAGAGGAACATAAAATTCAACTTTAAACAGTCATAACCATAAAGATGTCTTACCTTCGCTGTTGTGTGTTCAGAGTTGTGTTGGAGGGCGTGTCCACGATGCTAATGGCTAACGCTAGCGTACCCACGCTGCTAATGTCTAGCGTTACTCCAATGTCTCTTAATCATTTTTGATCATATTCAAGCCGTCTGCATTAATTAAGACATTAATAAACAACCTATGCTCACCCGTGTGTGTGATAACACGGTCTGTCTCGATGAATTGTGATACTGGCCTTCAATACAGGCATGAGCTGGTTAAATAGACCAATGGGTTATGTCTTTTTTTAATGGGAATATGTAAAGAGGTCTAAATGGTTGATTTTTGTTGTTTTTACATGTCGTTTTTACCTATATTGACATATACATTCAATTAAATTGGTTTTACAGTTACCTGAGAACATTTCAAATGGCACAGACGGTACACAAATGTACCAAAGTGGCCAATTTGTAGATTCCGCCTCAACATGCCTCTACTGAAACCTCTCCATCTTTGCTGTGATTCACTTTATTAGCATCAGTCTGTGCAAAGGTAATGTTCAAATGTTGCGCTATGGTATTAAAGACATTTTGGGCTGTGACGGCATCATTCCACACGGATATTCACGATAAAAGTGTGCAGTTTTGTTTGGCGGAAATAACAGTTAAATAATGCTGTGTCCTATCTTCATTTAATCTGACCCAGTAACATATGTACTGATGCTTACACGTCTGCAGAAATACCACAAGTGGTGCCTTCATTATCATACCAAGATGATTTAAAAATACTTTGTAGTCTACTCAGTGCCTGAGCCAGAGGCCCAAACTGAATATTGATTGATTGCCTTGACAAAGTGGATGTTTTCCCTTCAGGCGGCCACTTGTGGAATGGTTTCCACGGTGAGGCCCAGCTCTCCAATGAGTTCTTCAAGGAGCTTGATGACATCCATCACATCGGCCACGTGGACGCCGCCTTCCTTATGCACAACGCAGACAACCCAGGCGACCACGACCACATCTATTTCTTCCTGGTATGGTCCCCAAGGTGCGTTCGTTTTTCTCAGCTCCAGATATCTCTGTACCTACACGTTGTCTAATGTCACCTCCAGGATGACAAGGTGTTCAGCTATTACAACCACACTCTGGAGGCCGGCTATCCCAAAGAGATCCAGGAGGACTTCCCAGGAGTCCCCTCGCATCTGGATTCAGCCGTGGAGTGTCCCAAAGGAGAGTGCATGGCCGACTCGGTTCTGTTCTTCAAGGGTACATTGGCCTTCGCTGTAAAGATATCCATCTCACTAAATAATGTTTAAATTAAAATTAATAAATGAAAGAATGAGTTTATTAACTTAGGCTGCTGTAAATAGATAATTGGTAACTCAAACTATGTTATTCCCCCCCCACAGGACATGATGTGCATGTGTATGATATTACCACAAAGATAGTGAAGATCAAGACGTGGGCCCACTTGCCCGTCTGCACCTCCGCTCAACGCTGGCTGGAGCACTACTACTGTTTCCACGGACACAACTTCACCAGGTTCAACCCGGTGACCGGAGAGGTGAGCGGCTCCTACCCCAAGGACATCCGCCACTACTTCATGAAGTGCCGGGACTTCGGTGGGTTTCCTCTGTCGATTCGGTTCCAGTGATTTAGTGCAGAGCTATTTTTCGGGTAATCGCGTAATCGTCTGTGTTTCACTACAGGTCATGGAGGTAACTACCAAGTCCCGAAATGCAGTGAGGTCAAGTTAGATGCCATCACCACTGATGATGCAGGCAAAAGTTATTCATTTGCAGGTAAAGTAAAAAAAAGAAGAAGAAAAAAGTAGTCTTTAAAGGAATAGCTCAACATTTTGGGAACTACAGTAGGCTTATTTGTGTTCTTGCTGAGAGTTAGAGGTATAAAGCTAGAGCCAGGATACTATTAGCTTAGCTTAGCATAAATACCAGAAGCAGGAAGAAACGAGCCTGAGATATAACGACCATATCTTACAAAATGACACCCCCATCAGCATCAGCTGAACTTTGTAGCTAGTTACTGCGCTAACATGCTAAACGTAGAGCTGCTAGTATCACAAACGAGATATAACATTTTAGTTACTACTTTAGCTTTAATGTTAAGCTTTAAAACTAGTTAGAAGCATTCTTTTTAACTTTGGCAAGGCTAGCTGTTTCCCCCTTTATGCTAAGCTACAGCTAATCACCTGCTGGCTCTAGCTTTGTCTTTAACGCACATATATGAGAGTGGTATCGATCTTCTCATCTAACTCCCTGTCATCTTACCTAAATTTAAAAAGCATACCTCCCAATATGCAAAGCTATTCCTTTGGATTTTTTTTTTCTCGGGTTGATAATTTCTTTCAAGCTTGCTCTAAAGCGCTCACAAGACGTCCGTTCCATCTGCTCAGGCTCCATGTACATGCGCCTGGACACCCGTAGTAGCGGCCTCCACGCCTTCCCAATCACCAGGGCGTGGAAAAAGATCAGCAACGGGGTAGACGCCGTCTTTTCCCACGCCGACGACATGTACTTCATCAAGGTAGACTTTGAAGTAACCGGAAAAACTTCTTGAAAAAAACCTTGACGCGTCTATGCGTGCGTGTTGAAGTTAATACTAAAATTGCCTCCCGTGCTGCCAAACCCCTGCAGGATGATCAAGTTTACATCTACAAAACAGCGGCTCACTACACCCTGATTGAAGGCTACCCTAAAACCCTGAAGGAGGAGCTCGGAATCGAAGGACACGTGGACGCCGCTTTTGTCTGTCCAAATGAACACACGGTTCATGTAATCCAAGGTAAGGTTACGGAGTTCTTATATCTCTTTTGGTGAATTTGGAATGTTGACAAAACATCTTTCTTCCAACAGGAAATATGATACGGTACGTGGACCTTATCGCCACACCCAGGGCCGTGACCGAATATCCCTTGCCCTTGTCCGGCATCGACGCCACTCTGTGCGATGCGGAAGGAATCCAGTTGTTCAAGGGCTCGCAGCATTACAAGTACGAGTCCCCCATGCTACTATCTATGAGCAGGATAGCCCCTCACCCTCTCCCCATTACCAACGCCTTGTTGGGATGTCGCAATGAGTAGTTTCTCAGTCACACTAGAGAGTGGAAGAGAGAGGGAAGAACTACATGTGTAAGCTTTTGATAACTCCTTCCCTCCCATGCATCGTGGAGTTTAAGTTGTTTAATGAATAAAATGTGGAAAACGTCATACTGGAGTCAATTTCAGTGATTATTCTGTCAACATCTTATGATATCTTTATGATAAAAAGAACATTTGGTAACACTTTCTATGACGCCCATGTCTATGATTCCCTGTAAACATACTTTGACCACTTAAAGTAACTTACAATCACAACAATATTTGCTGTCGGTTTGGGTGTGAATCAAAAACAATAATGGGGAACAAAATCCAAAGTAAATGTATGAAGTAATGACAGCATTTGTCCACTAGAGGACCTACTGTACAAATGAATGTGAAAGTCTGAATGCAGGGGGGGGGGTTCTCTCCATTTACTAATGTTGTCTGTAGTGTACTGAGCTCTGTGAAGCAATTAGCAAGCAATATGCTTCAAAAGAGAAGCAATTTATGGAGACAGCTCTCTACTCAGATCACCTGAAGAGGGAGCTGCTCCTGCAGTGACTTTTCACGGATTTCAATCAGAATCGCAGATGTAGACAGATGTAGACAGATGTGACAAATTGCTGGTGGCCAAAACTTTATTTTTTTATTTTTCGCAAAGAAACCGGCTGGATGACAACAACCAGCGGTACAAAGACATGCCTCCTTCAGTCACCGGGGTCGAGTAGTGCCGCGTAAAGCACGGAGAGGCCTCATAGTCGTGCAGACTGAGAGCGAAGCACTCGACCAGCTGAGCCACGACAGAATCCCAGACAGATTGGCTCTCGAATTAAAAAACAGAACGAGATGTTCTCAGCAAGAAAATACAGTCAACGGACCTATGCTTTTAGTTTTTAATGCAGTCATCTGCATATCTGTCAGTGTGCTGGGTCTTTGTAATTTGTTACATTTTAATGGAAATTAATGTTAAATTAAATTTAAACCCTCCACAAGTCATAACGTTTAGGGCCAAAATGTCTAAAAATGGTGGTTATCTAATTTGGGACTCCTGGTTTCTGTCATTATTAAAATAAATACAGTATTTTCACAACTGTCCGTGCTCATATTGGACCATATGGACATGTACGCAGCAGCCTGCAAGAGCCCAGAGGTCGGACGGCATTAGCAGGCATTCAAGGCCTTTTCACTCCCTGGAGAGGTTTTTTGTTCAGCCAAAATCCCTAGGACTTTCAGCGAGCATAAAGGAAGTGCTGGCCTCAGCACAGCTTAATGGGCGAGGCCATGAGCTCATACACACACACACACACCAGAACACACATGCATGTGCACATAGAAACACCACCGCAAACACACACATGCATAGCAGACAGTACGTGTTTTCATCGCGCACACAGAGCGGCCGGCTATCAAGTAATATTAATATGCTGTGATGATGCTGAAATATTACGCATGCATTCTTTTATTTATTTCCTTTTGCTTTACTGAAAAACATTAACTGGCATTAGCCTCAGGTAGAAAAAAACAAATGTCCAGAATGGAAAGGATTCATCCCCTGGGGAGCATGAATCTAATCAATAAATTCAATCCCAATCTGCATGTTAGATTTTGATATTTCTCTCGGACAAGTGGAAATTTTAGCTGGATATTGGCAACAGTTGGCAGGAAAGGGCACAGGGTCACCAAAACATTCATCCTCTGGGGACCATGAACAGCTGCAGGAAATGCATTCACAATCCAGCCATTGGTTTTCAGTATTTTGATTTAAACATCACAATGTTTAGGCATCTATCTTGTATTTTTGTCCCATGATTTGTAAATCATGGGTTCTTGAAATCAGAATAAAAAAGAAGAGAGAGAAAATCCAAAAAGAAAACGCCAACCATGGCAGGAAACAGTTATTGGTACAAAAAAAGTTTATTCAGTAACAGCTCTGTAAACATCTGAGGTAAATGAACATTTACATCAACATGTTCCTTAACAAAAAGGTTCAGACGCAAGGCACTTCTCTTCAAAGACTGTCGCTTTACAGCAGGAGTAATGGGGGGGCACCATGAACATCCCATCACACAACGTCTGTTTTCCATCGCGGGATGGTTTTTGATTCATGGCACATCCGTGGTGTAAAAGTTGGAATAGCCAAAAGTCTCCCAATCGATATTCAGGACAGAAAAGAACAATCACTTTAGATTCATTTCTTGTCCGTCGCAAGTCTAATTTGATAGTGTTATATCCATAAATAAACAAAAATATGTTAATATCCTTCCTCCAAGGACACCCTTTTTTTTTCCATTTATAATATCTTCAGTGGCCTATAACTAACTGTGCAACTCTATATCTACATATCAAAGGTACTAAGAACAGCTACAACAAGGTTATGAAATAAGTAAATAGAAATAGAAATATAGAAATAAGTAAAATGAACCTTGTTCTCTTTTAGAGACGACGCTCGACGCAACGTCTTTTTTTAAGTGTTATTGTAGTTGTCCATTCCCAGAAGGGTTGTTAAACTGATCGCATGGGCGGAGCCATGATTGTTAGGTTCCCGCGCAAAGGCTCTTTAAAAATTCCTTCATGTATCGTGATTTCTTTGGCACAAATATCTTTGGTTTGTTAAATATCTTTTATTAAATCTAACACAACATGTGCTTCAGTTGCCGTAGTGTGCTGAAGTTGTTTATTGGCACCTCAGTTTGATCAGACGTGTAAACATCCGACACAGCATAGAACCGGTCTATGGTTCATCCCATCTTTAGAAAACTTGTTGTAAATAAGTACAAATCTGCATCCTACCGCATTTGTCATTTGCTTAAATGGTTGCATTCATGACAATTTGGAAATGGTACATTTTCAAATTAGGACTTCTAAAAATACAGCTCGACACGCTACTGACCTCTTTGTTAAACTTAAAATCACAGCGTAGCTTCATAGCGCGACTGAGGGACAGACCACAGAGGGATCAAATGTAACAGACGAACACTATTTAACGACGGCGCTGTTTGATTTGGATGTTTCAGTTAGCCGTGTGTATTCGAGTTTCTGGGCGTCGGGCAATATAGCGTCTCGAAGCCGTCAGCTAGGACTACAGTACGCAGTGGAAGGATACGTTCACGATGATGACTTTTACTCAGGTGCCTTTTACCGTTGGGATGTTAGACATCGTTTACATCCAAAATAAATTACGGCAAAAGTTATTTTGGGGCGACACGAAGCTTCACGGAGAAAATCCAAACAAAAGGAACGTTAGCCAAGATCTCTTCTGGCTAAAGACATATCTTATCATATCTTCATGTCTTAAAAACCAACCAATCTGTCCTTTTTATAAATCTATTTAACGTTACCGTAGAAATAAGGAGGGAGCAAACCTCCCTCTTTACGGAGCGTTAGCTATACGTTAGCTAGTTAGCTGGCGTTTTGCTAAGATTAGCTAACTTCAGAAGTGACCACATACAATATAACGTGCGTGTGGAGACACTGGGACCAATGTCGTATGACTTCTAAAGTAATGTCACCTTTGACCTTTAGAGAACAGACGCAGCATATCGAAGAATTTGAATTCACTATTGAGCTGATGTACACGTTCCAAGTTGCCATGAATGCAGATGAGCAACGTTCCCAATATATAGATTCGTTTTAAAAAGAAACATTAATGGAGTCACTCTAACATGTGACTCATGCAGCATGACTTCTTCTTCTAAGGAGGATGAACCCGAGACTATGTCACGGGTTATTTACCTGGTGGTAAAACGTTTAACCCGACCTGAGCAAGACTACAAAAAACACAAAGGCCGTGAGATGTGGTTGAAAGCGAGTAAGGAGACCTTGAGTTAAGATTATTTGATCAAACTAAAAAAACAAACATTTTGTTTGTATTTAAATGTGGAATCAGACTTTACTTTGATTTGGTTATTTTTGCCTGCAGTGTTTAAATGCTAATTGAGGCACATGTGGTATAAACTAGCGCTTTTTCTAGTATACTCGTAGTACTCTTTCAAGTATAATCAACTAATATTCTGCTCAGAGAGAAACGCAAAGAGATACAAATACGTAAACACTGTTTGCACCAAACCCTGCTCTGTTGACTTGCTCATAGGGGGCATTTCTACTCCTGAATAAAAACACTTATGCTTTGATTTGATGAATTAAACCTGCTGGGGAGGAAATTTATATCGGCCATTTTCTGTTTGTTTTTGTCGTTGTCGGCAGGAATTAATGAGAAGAACAAAAAAAATGAACATTCCTATGTGGGATGTCTGTGAAGAACTGACAGCAGAAATAAAAGTTAGCACTTTTTTTTTTTTTTTTTAAAGATCATATTGATTTTTTTTTTTTTTTTTCAAAATAAAAATCTAAAATCTACTGTATAACCTACAGCTAGTCTGGAAAAGGAACGTAGAGTCCTCCTATACAGAAGAGCTAGGGGGAACTCCACAGTTCTGTAACACACTGCAAACACAAGCGTCAGAAAGAAGCTGTACCGATTCGTATGCTCTGTTCAAGCTGCAGCGCTACTGTAAATGTAGTTTAAGCCCTTGATCGTGTACTCTTTTAACAGATTACCTCGAGTCTTCTAACACCGGAGCTTCGCATAAAGTGACCTGTGGGGCCAATGTCAGAAAAAACGCGAAAGCACTTTGGATTTTCTCGATAGAAGTCGTTATAAATTTGCAGCTTGACCAGTAACCAGTAGGAAGTTCTGTAAAACATCCTGTGGTGCCTGTCAATACTATCAATCATTATATATTTACATATTTATATACTTTATATAGTTTACCCTGATGTAACTGCAGAGATGTCATTTTGTAAACACTGAAACAAGATTAAGGTAACACACACACACACACACACACACACAGCCTGTGAAGCCTAAGGACTAGTCTCAGGGTGGGACTGCTTTATCGCTCTCCTCTGTCACTGCATCCCTCTCTTCATTGAAACTACAGGCTGGCTGAGCGCCGCACACGCACACGGACAGACGCAACGCGACGCCACGGACCGTTCAGCTCCATCATCACGTCACAAAGAAAAAAAAATATTTTTTTTAAAATAAAGAAACAAAAGTGCAAACCTCTCCTCAGATGTCTCCCGGCAAAGAAATTAAATTAAATGAAAGATAAAAGAATATAGCATTGCTGCCTCTATGCTCCCAAACGTATTAGTTAGTCCAATCATCATCATCACAATAACCTTTCCTTATTTGCGTGTGTGTGCTAGCTATATATATATATATATATATATAAATATATATACTGTAGGTGTGTGTGTGTGTGTGTGTGTGAGTATGTGTAACTCCCTGTATAGCTCCCCTGTCCTTTGGCCTGTTGGCTCTTAATTAAGAAGAATGTAGCCATGTTGGAGATCCTCAGTGCTGCTTGTAGTGTTTAACGGAATAGTTCGAAAGGGGAAACAGCTAGCCTTTTTATTTTTATTACTTTTTTTGTACGTTCTCTTTTTAAGTTTCAATAGGAGCTCATGTCTGGCCAAACTCATTCCATCCCTACTCCTAGTTCATAATTGTGAGATTAAAATAAGCAGCCACCTCCAGCTGGATGTGGTCGTGCTTTGCGCGTCTTCCTTGCAGGAATGTCTGTTGCTGGAGGACATGCGTGCGTGTGGTTTTATGCTTGTTGTGCATATGTGGGAAGAGAGAATGCTTATGTAGGTTTCCTGTGTGTACACAGCATGTCTGCATGGTTGTGTGAAATGTGTGAGTGTGTGTGTTTTAGCTACACCGCCAGGTCGTCGGGGCGAGCTCGGCTGGACCGACTCGGCTTCAGGACGTCTCTCGCGGCGGAAGCAGGAGGCGGATGCATCTCCGCCCTGGTGACCACGGTGAAGTCGTCATGGGGGACCATATAAGGGGGCGTGTTGTCCTCATCCGCCGCCGCCTCCTTCGGTGCGAGTGGGGAAAGGGGGGTGTGACGAGGAAGTGTAGGAAACGTGGAGTGTTGCTCCCCTTGTGGAAGTGGCGGGGTGGTCTCCTCGTGAGGAGAGGAGGAGGCGGAGTTGGGAGGAGAGGGAACATGAGGAGGGGAGGAGGAGGAGGAGGAGTTTTTTCCTTCCAGATTGTGGAGCTCCAGCGCCATGTTGCTCCAGTTCTGCTCCATTGCCATCAGCTGCTCGTGGCTCCCGACACTCACTTTCCCGCCATAAAAAGAAGTGGGCAGCGCCTCCAGCAGGAAGTCATCTGGGTGGTACGCCGTGCCGTACACCTTGAGCCTGGCAGGCCCGGAGGCGGTGTTTAAGGACATCCCTGCGGCTCCTCCCTCTTCTGCCACGACCCTCACCACATTCACGCTGGCGTACGCCGGCAAACAGTCGAGCGCTGGCGGAGAGGTCTGCTTGGGGATCGTCTCCGTGTCCCCTGGCTCGTCCCCACTCTGCAGCGGCGACTCACCGCCGGGTGCGAACTCGTTGGTGACCCCCTGCTTGACCTTCTTCCAGCCCAGGTGGTAGATCTCCAGCAGGTTGAGGAGCAGAGAGACACAGGCAACCACCAGCATGAAGATGATGAAGATGGTCTTTTCGGTGGGCCTGCGACAACAGACGAACAAAACCACATTTAATTCACAAATGTATTAATAGAGAATATATCTAACAGAGGAAATGCTACGTCCTTTTCCACACATAATGCTTGATGTTTTGAATATGAGGGATATCGAGGGATTGCCTTCACGCGGCTCTCAACGTGGTGATGGCTGAGCTAGCGGCCAGCAGCTAACGTTGCTAACAGCAGGAACAGTGCTAGAAAGAGCAACAGTGCTGACAGAGCCAACCTGAGGAGGAACCGGAGGGTAGGAGCTACGCTTCCATGTTGTTTTTTGCGTTTCAAATGAACAAACACACAAAGATAACATCCTACAGTCTAACCTGGAGATGAAGCAGTCCACAGTATTGGGGCAGGGCCAGCGGCCACATTTATAGAGCGGCCTCAGGTGGAAGCCGTAGAGGAAGTACTGTCCCAGGATGAAGCCCACCTCAAACAGAGTCTTGAAGATGATGTTGAAGATGTAGGTCCTCAGTAACGCCCCGCGGATGCGGATCTTCCCGTGCTCATCGCGAATTGGCGGCTTCTCCTTCTTCCCGCCTCCTCCATTGCCGACCCCGTTGCGATAGAGGGGGTCGTGGTCCTCCTGGTGCCGCGCGGCCTTCCGGAGGTCCTCCTCCCTCTCCCTCCTCTTCTCCTCCATGCGGACGATGTGCAGCACATGGCCCAGGTAGATGAGGGTGGGCGTGGAGACAAAGATGATCTGCAGCACCCAGAAGCGGATGTGGGAGATGGGGAAGGCCTCGTCGTAGCAGACGTTCTCGCAACCGGGCTGCTGCGTGTTACAAGTGAAGTCGGACTGCTCGTCGCCCCAAACCTCCTCGGCCGCTGCGCCCAGCACCAAGATGCGGAAGATGAAGAGGACGGTCAGCCAAACCTGGGGAGGAAGGATTAAAAACAGTCAGTCCAGGTGGAGACTGACAAGGTCTCAATGAGTTCAAATACACAGAAATGTGAAATGAAATATTCTAAATTGTGGCCTTTCGGGTGTCTAAAGATTGTGTGGGAAGAAGGAGGTGAACCTGATGTCACATCATTTCATATTTATCAATAGTCCATCGGTCACCTTTCCAATCACAGTGGAGTGTTCTTGAGCATTCTCCAGCAGCCGCCCTAGAAAGCTCCAGTCACCCATGCTTCACTCGATGTTCTAGCCTGCAGAGGAAAACAAGAGTGTGTGATGAAGAACACAGGGGGCCCCCCCAGTGAGGAGGGCCAACAACCAGAGGAGAGGCAGGAGACAGAGACCAGAGATGCATAGGAAATAAAATCTTCTATATTTGTTCTTATGAAAAGACTAAAACCAATGCGTTAGTTTGCCTCTCAATACTTTTCAGCTACTCTGTCTGTGGCCCCAGACTGAAGATATGATGTTTTAAAAGTGTTTTTAAACAGCTGGTCACTGCAGTTTTTAGCAAATATCTCTCAAACGAGAATAAATTGGGCATTTGTTTGGGACTATTTTCAGCAGTGGACTAATACACATTTAGGGCGCTGGGACTAATTACTGCAGAGAAACATGCTGCGAACGCTTCTCAGTAATAGAACAGACGAGGATCCGGATGTGATGTCTGTTCCAGGGTGAGGAAAAGAGGAAGGCCGACTTACTAAAATATTGTTGTATCGTCAGTGACAAATCCATCGACCAGAGATCAGAAGAAAAACTCTATCTGGAAAGAAGAGACAAAATCAACTTTACACGTCACAAAATTCACATTTACTGTCAAATGTCACATACATGGATTACATCTCACCACTTTTATTTCTTGCTTATTCTTCTCGTGGAGTCAGTTTATCGTACGACACATTTAAATCTGCATGCATTCATGCATCATAAAATATAGAAGATAATATGGTTGTGGGGCCTTTCAGAAGAAGCTCTAGAAGACAGAATGAAACTGTATCCGTGCATCTGTGTGCCGCTCTCTGCGAATGTGGATGCGTGTATATTTATGCGTGCGAGTAAAACTTGGTGCATGCATATGCACATGCATTTTTTTGTGTACTAGTGTATGTGCGTCGCAGAGCTGGCTGGCTTGTGGACAAAAGGCCGGCCATCTGTGGGAAGTGAATGAGCGGATAACAGGTCGTCCCCGTTGAATGCCGGACTCATCACATCCCAGGAATGCTGAGGAGGGCAAATGTTAGATCGCCTGATACGTACGCACACGCAGAGTTGCGGTTACACGCTACGCCACGGACGACTTATTTCACTTCTAATATGAAGGTTAAACCCAAGACTTCTGTTACTTTTCCCCTCACACAAAGTAAATCAGCAGCCTGAGAAGGAAATGTAATTAATACGATAAACCTTTCAAAATACACCTTCACAAATTCATACATGTCTAAATAGAAGTGGACAAACTTTCCTTGACTTCCCCGAACTGTGAAAGGAAAAGGGAATATTAAATGAATAGACTGATTGCTGTAACTGTCTGCTGATAGGCCGATCTAACAGCGGCAGGGGTACATGTACATGATGTGTTGACGTGATGAAATACCATCTGTCAAGACAGACAATAGAGAAGCTCCCAGATGGACATTGTCCCGGCTGGCGTGTGCTTTTGATGGATCAGAGGTCTTTGTGCTAAAACAGCCCAAACAGTTAACTCTTGGCCTGCCGCGCGCGCCCCGAAAACCGTTTTAAGATATGCGGACAGCGGCCAGGATACGCAGAATGTGCACATAGTTGTGTAAAAGTGCATAAAATGCCCAAAGGTGCATAAAGTGTGCAAAGGTGCATGATATTTTGGTACCGATGCATAAAGGTGTACGGGTGCATTAGGTGTCACAAAGGTGAGTAAAGATATAATGAGTATAAAGGTGTGTAAAGATGCAATGCCACCAATGTAAATAAAGACGCTGAATGTTTGTAAAAAATAAAAAGGGTGTCCGTGATTTGGCTCCGAAGAAAGTAACATCCATTGAAAAAACATCCCAGAATAAACAGGGGACATGGAGCAGCAGGGTGCCGTGATGGACACTCACTTGAAGCTATAGTCTGGTCTAAGTGGCCTGCGTACATATTCAAAATACAGTACCATGTTAAAAATAGTAAAATGACATACATGTGTATTCAACACTTCCAGTTTTGATGCAAAATTGGAATTTTTCACAATATACCAACTGATGTTTGAATAAATACAATAATGACCAAACTCTAAGAGAATAGGATGGCTGGTAATGGGGAGACAAGCTTTTAAGGTTTATAGATTATTATATATATTGTACAACACATCCTAATTTACTGTGCAAGACCCAGATTGGTGTGTTTTTAATGATAGATAATAATAAGCAAGCATCAAGCCTCTGTTATCAGAAAACCATCCTTCATTCAATTAGTGAAATATTAGCGGCTTCCTGTCTGCCCGTCTTTCCCACAGGGAAGTGAACGCAGCATGAGAGGTGCTCATAATCCAGCAGGTGATGGATGATAATCCCTCCTCTTCACTCCACTCCAGCCCAACACCATCACTCCAGCTTCCACTCCACCTGCTTACCGCTCTCCTCTGAAACGCGCGCTCCTTTCCCTCACTCCGTTCCTTCCTCTTCTTTCTTTTACTCCCACGGGTGGGCTCGAGGCGACCGGGCGAGGAGTGGGTGAGATTAGTGAGAGGGGGGAGAGAGAGAGAGAGAGAGAGGGCAGAGAGAGAGAGAGCGAGAGAGAGAGAGAGTAACAAAAAAAGACACGAGGCTACTCTAGTCTCAAAAAAAGGGCGCGTGTGGAACCTGTCTCGCGAAGGCGAAGCGCAGCGGCTGCATCCCGCGTGGCCAAGGCCATCCGGCACTGTCACACATTGGTATCCCCGTGCCTGGGGCGCACGAGGGGGGGGGGAGTACGTGCTTGTATGCGCGCGAGCGTGTGTGTGTGTGTGTGTGTGTGTGGAGGTAGTGGCAGGGGGCACACGCGACTCCACCACATCACTGTTAAGCCAAATGTAATACTATTTCAAAATCTACTGCTACTATTACTACTACGACTACTACTGCTACTACTATAAAACACGTAGAGAAAAAAAGATTTATCAGAATAGTTTTTTATTTAAAATATTATTTTATTATGGTTATCATTACTTCTGTAGTTGTAGGCAGCAGCAGAAGTAGTATTGGTATGAGACACACTTCATATTTAGCTGTAGACTAATATCTGATGTTAAGTTGTGCCGGAAATATGCAATAATTGTAAAAATTAGGAAAAATAAACAAAAATGTTTTTAAAAAACTGCCACTAAATGAAATACAAATGACAAAAAGCATAGAATAGTATTAAAGTTAGCATGTCTTTCATAATTGTACTTCTCCTAAACTATTTCACTTGGTAACTTGTTGTGGTTCACCAAACATCTGTTTACTATGTGTCAGTGACCGTCCCTCAGAGGAGGGGAGGGAGGACCGTGGAGCAGTCACAGGTGGAGCAGTCACAGGCGGAGCAGTCACAGGTGGAGCAGTCACAGGTGGAGCAGTCACAGGCGGAGCAGTCACAGGCGGAGCAGTCACAGGCGGAGCAGTCACTGCTGTCAACCAGCAGAGGTCAACACAGTAGATCACTTGATGCATCTGTTGTTCGTGTGTTTTACATGGTTTGATTAAATTAAATTGATTAATTAAATGGGACGATAATAATAATGATGATTATTATTGTTGTTGTTAAATCATACTATTAGACTAGCACGCAATAAAGATAAGTACATAAAGTAGGAAATGGTGAGTGTATTTATATTCAATAAATTGTAGTATTGACAATTAAGTATTAATGTACACTCTCAGAGAGTATGATGTAAAAATACAGTTTTGAGTTGTTGACGCCAATTCAATCCTCTCCACCTCTTGAATGTTACATTTAAAACATCAAAAGGTATCACAGAAAATGTTCACTTTTTGAGTGGTATGAGTGTACCACTTGTAAATATTCCGTTTTATAAGTCCTTTAACTGCATGTATCGTCCATCTTGTTCCTGCTTCCTCAGGTTGAGACAAGTGACTTGTGGTTTGTTTTATTCTGCGTCCTCTCTCGGCTGGATTTTCCGCATGTTTTCCTCTCCTTCTGACTACAGAGACTCCTGAAAAAGAAGAAGTTATGGACTTAAGGAACTTCTGCGCTTTGATAACCCAGATGAAGGATGAAGGACTTCAAATTTGAATTAATCACCTGACTGTCTGACTGATTAATGCCTCTACCTAGTGACAGCCTTGGTTACAAGATATGCAAGCTCAGCCATGTTAAGGACCATGCAGATGGAGGAGGCAGTGGCCATGAAGACGGTGAAGATGGTTTTCTCGGTGGGACGAGAGATGAAGCAGTCCACCAGGTTAGGACACGGCCACTGGTCACACTGCACCAGCCGTGGCATCTGGAAACCATCGTATACCACATAGAGGGCATACCTGGAGAGACAAAGACACATACTGTGTGCAGATAGGCAACATGGCAGGATTATACCAAACCAGCAATATGGCAGACACGCAGACAACCAGACTCGTACATGAAGCCTCCTTCAAACAGCAATCTGAACACCAGGCTGCAGGCGTACGTCCACCAGAGGGCACCAGCTATCGGGAGTCTCCTTCTCTTGAGAGTCTCCAGATCTTCCTCCTGGCCTTTGCTGCTGAGGAAACCAGCTCTACCAGAACCCTGTCAAACCACATGATATGAAAACTTAAAACTAGAGAGGATACAACATTGAATATGTTATAAAATGACATGACAATATAAAGCAAGACATGAAAAGATAAAGCAAGACATGACATGACATGACAGGATAAAACAAGACAAATCACAACTAAAAAAGACATGACATGACAATACCTGACAAGACAACCCATGACAGGACAAGACGAGACATGGGATAAACAGAAGCTTTGTCTCCCACCGGAGCAGCAGACAAATGAAACCGTACACACACCTGGAGGAGCCTCTTCTTGTCACCGTGGTTCCGATAGGCCACATACATTGCAACCAGGAGCGTTGGCGTGGAGACAAAGACAAGCTGAAGACACCACAGACGGATGTGGGAGACGGGGAAGAACTGATCGTAGCAGACGTTTTCACAGCCAGGCTGAAAAACAGAGGCAGACTGTTGCAACAATGAAAATATAACCGTACGGTTGCTCTATAGATGTTGTATTCACATCTAAATAACATGAAAATGGACATATTACATTTACACGACGGGATCGCTGACTGGGTGCCCTACCTGTAGCGTGTTACAGGTGAAGTCAGACTGCTCGTCGCCCCAGACGCTCTCAGCAGCCACGACCAGCACCATGACCCGAAAAATAAACAGCACCGAGAGCCAGACTTTACCCAGGCTGGTGGAGTGACGGTTTGCCCCGACCAACTGAGCGTACAGAGCAGGCCAAGACATCCTGAGGAAACAGTCACAAACATGAGAAGGACAGCACAATGACACGATGCTGCCGGCAGAAGAGCGGAGTTCTGTACCAGGTTTGGCCGGTTCCTGACAGCAGCACAGAGGGAGATTCAGAGGGGGGGCCGTGGCAACAGATGAAAGCAGAGAGGGGCGATGAAACAAAAGAGAAGTTTGATACAAGAAGAGGATGAAAAGGAATGAAAGTGAGAGGAGGAAGAGTGAAGGCCCAGCGCCAGAATTCATGTGAACTGATGATCCTCTCTGCCCACTGTGGACTGTACTGAACGGAGCCCACCCGTCTAAAGACACACTGAGCACACTGTACAACCCCACACTACTACAGTCCTCACTGAGCATCACCATTCACACTGAACCATCGATTGATGTATTGATCATTCATAAGAGAGAGAGAGATCAAGATGATGGAAGCTTTTATTTTCTAAAATGTCTCTTCCAAAACTGATTCGGTCTTCAGGCAGATTTTCAAAAGAAAATACAAAGTACTTTTCTCACCTTGTTTCTGCACAGTCAGGTTGTTTGCAGGAAAATATTCCACATGTTCCTTTCACTGTCACACCAGCCCTGGCATAATGAAAATGATGAATGTTATCTGGGTCTGATGTACCTCCTTCCTTCGCATGAAATAAAAAGATGAGCCTCCAGTGTCAAGACATCCAGAACATTATGAGGTGACTTCCTGTAAATGGTCACCAAGAACAAAGCTGCATTGTAGTGAAACGGTGTGTGTGTGTGTGTGTGTGTGTGAGGTAACAGGACACAGGTAGTGACTTTTCAGAGCCCGACCATCACTTGGCAGCGGCACAGTGCGGCTCTGTGCTGCTAATGACTGTGACCGAGGAGCGCTCCCCACTGTTTGTTGAAGTGTGGGAGCAAAACCAACTTCCCCAGTTTACACTGGGGATGCTGTAACATACACATTCAGCTTGAGCTACAATGTTAGGAGAGGGTTGTAGACATACGTGTAGCAGTATATATATGCTGAAAAAGTAAATAATGAAGCTAGAGTTGTACACACTGTAGTAAACGTACTGGGTTGAGAGAGAGAGGGCGTCTGTGATTCTAATGGAGTCATTATGGGAGTAACAGCGGCCCTTACTCCTGATGCATATCGATGAATGGATATCAGTGTCAGGACCGGACTCAAAGACCCACTGTCTGATCTCTCAGTCGGGACAGAGGGAGAAAGGCGGGCGGATTGTTTCAAGCTGGTCCATGCCATCCATTCTGATGGGAGCTGGTGGTGGTGGTGGGGGTCACACAAAGTGAATGAGTAGGGAGAAAGGGAGAGAGGTAAAACAGAGCTGATTGTTAACGTAGCTCCTGATCAGCTCAGGAGAACAGAGGGGGCCAGTGTGCACACACACACACACACACACACACACACACACACACACACTGTACAGCATTCACATATAAGTTACCCAGAAAGCCACACTCACACATACAAATGCAGTAATGAATGAGGGGGAGAGCAGCATGTGACTGTGAGTTCCGTAGGTGGACTTGGCGGACTGATCCTGGACCAGCCAGTATGAAAGTCTGCGAGATGTCTTGATGATTTATGTGACTTCCAGATTTTTGTTTTTCCTTTCAGTAACGTGATGACAGTGATACTATACATGTATATATATATACTATATATTATTAGATTACAATGCACAGGAAACATGCAAACAACGGTACATACTTGATTTAAGGACTTGACCAAGCAAAAACTTTATAATGTTGCCATGCGCACGGTGATGCATAGACACTCCGAGTCAGTAGGGGGCGATAGAGTTGTCGCTGGTTGAATTAGGGTAGAATACACCGGAAACGGAAACGGCTTCAGTCTCATTCGTTTCTGCAGCTACGAGAAAATACCCAAGCAAGGTGGTAGAAGCTAGCACCGATACCTACGTGCATTAGTATATCTGTGAAAAATAATAATGGCCCTTGAATCACGGATTACACAGGAAGAAATCAAAAAGGAGCCAGAGAAGCCCATTGACCGAGAGAAGGTAGATCGAAGCCCGGTTTTTACTTTAGCTTGTTTACCTTATGGGCTCTAAGCTAACCTACGTTAGCTCTGAATGCTACGCTAACAGCTTGGAGACTGTTTGACTTACGTATTTAGGATGAACTCCAAACATTAGAACATAAGTACTCGAGTATTCCAGTTTTACTTGATGATATATTATGCACTAGTCATCACAAGTAAAAGAAAAAACAATATTTAATTTTGGCGTCTATACCGTGCTAGTGATAGCCTATGGTGCTAGCTTAGCATGTAGTCCTCGTCAACCTAACGTCACGAAAAAATACATTTCATTGTTTAGTTATTAAAATGCTTAGCTTGAGAGGTTACTAAAAGTTGACTTAACATATCCCGCGTGAACTGAAAAACAAAATTTCTGGGTAGACACTCAAAACTTGCTAAATGCAACTTTCAGGTGGAGTCTCTAACGAAACTGGCGTGTTCTGCATGTTTCCAATTTAAAATAAAATAAAAATACGTTTTAGGTTTCCAATGCCAAGCAACACGGGGGGGGCAATAATTAAAGTGGTATATCGGTTGCTGTCACGAGACACTTTGATGTGGTTTGAGATGATGGTCACTTTCTACAGGTGTGTCTAATATTGTTCCTCTATTCATTTGGGTGAACTAAGATGGCTCATTAACTATCCTTTAGTACACCATGTGTATGCATTCAGGTACTACTTACATTAGGTTACTATCATGACAATTGACCAATTACAACACTAATTGAGTTAATATTTAACTTAACTGTATATTGGCACTCAAAATGTATGTTGTAGTTACTCGGTGTGACCACTAAGGGGCAGCACACTTTAGTGACGCCACTACTGTACCTTTCAAAATAAAACTTTCAAAACACCCACATGGGTTAGATCATTTGTGTGTAATGGGTTCACGTCGTTGTAGTGCCACCAAATTTAATTATTTGAAGGAACTGATCTATTCCATTAAAAAAAAAAAACATAATTCACATTGATGCTTGTTTTTGCTGCAGACCTGCCCCCTTCTGCTGCGTGTTTTCACCACCAACAGTGGCCGACACCACAGAGCAGACGAGTTTAACCGTGGCAACGTTCCCTCCAGCGAACTGCAGATATACACATGGTGAGAGCACAAACATTTTGCTTTGTTTTCTTTCTTGTTGTTGTTGTTGTAGTTGTAGTATGTGCCAATCCAGAGTTTTAAGCTGAGTTAATAAAATGGAGGAAACTCTCTGTGTTCAGGTACTAATCTGTGTCTTTTATTTTTCAGGATGGATGCTACTCTGAAGGAGCTGACCAGCCTGGTGAAGGAAGTGTATCCTGAGGCCAGAAAAAAGGGGACCCACTTCAGCTTTGCCATCGTCTTCCCCGACCCCAGAGGGAAAGTGTACAGGTTAGCGTCGCACTACAACAGCACTGGTTGGCCTCATGGAGCAGGCCTCTTGCTTAATGTTGAGGTGAATTTGTGTGCATTGTATATTGACACACCTTTCTGCCCCATCCTCCCCCTTTACAGGTTGAAAGATATCGGCAACACTGTATCCGGCAGGAAGGGCGCAGATGACTCCATGACGTTGCAGTCCCAGCGCTTCCAGATCGGAGACTATCTGGACATAGCTATCACACCGCCCAATAGAGCCCCGCCCCTTAACACACGCATGAGGCCCTTCTGAACATAAACACAGACGCGTAAACCGACACATCCACCGTAGTTATTTTTTTTCGTCTTTTTTTTTTTTCAATTGCATCATCTTGGATGGTTTTTTTGCCTCATTTTATAAAATGTGACATGTAATAAAGCTGTAATTTTTTTCCAAAGTTTCTGCCCCTTTCTTTGTAAGATACTGTGAGATTGTATGAGGAATTTAGTCTTTATGTTTTGATTCGGTGTGTTAAACTGCACTTATATTGTGAAAAACAATTAAATTTAAGGTGGTCCACCAACTTTTTTTCTGGTGACATGTCAGTGATGTTTAAAATTTCTAAGTTTGCAAAAACACCTCTGGGATCTAAACTGCCTTCAATTATGGTCGATTTACAACACTGAAATTAAATTTGACCCAAAACTGCAGGACTGTTGCATCTAAGTATGAAAAATGAAATCTGTGTTTTTGGGTACTCGAAGCCCGAAAAAAAAACTGGGACAGGAAATATATGTAGCGCTTTTGGTCATTGAGAACTTTATTTCGATAGTTATAACCGGAAGTTGAAGGATGTCCAGCCGCGCATGCGTAGTGCCACACGGACAGCTAACACATAAAACAGCCAAGATAGCCAACTGTTAGCTAAAGAAAGCAGCTGTTTACACACTAAACGCGTTGAAATGTTTCGTAGGAAATTGACGGCGCTAGATTATCACAACCCCGGTGGATTCGACTGCAAAGGTAAGACGAAACTCGTCAAGTATTCGCTCATAAACGCGAGTTAAACGTGGAGCCGGAGTCCTGTCACTGGAGACGACGACATGCCAAACTCTTACGAACAAAATAGTAGTTTCATGCAGCTTTTTGGCTGAGAAACTTGTTTGTTCACGAGATAAAAATGTGTACGAGCTTCTTACAGGCCACACTTTTATTCGGCTTTATTGTTAATGCCAACTGTTCGTTGGTGTGTCCTCTCTGCATCAGATGAGACACAGTATAGGAACTGCGTGGTGTGGCTCGAGGACCAGAAGATCCGACACTACAAGATCGAGGACCGAGGAAACCTGAGAAACATCCCGAGCTCAGGCTGGCCCGAAGCCTACCAGAAGGTGACACCACGCCTTTCTTAATTACAGCTTGAACATGAACCCTGTTATGAAGAGGATATCATTGTTCCTCATATGAATGACATGCGTGTGCTTTTCTTGTGTGCAGTACCTGCAGGATCTGAACTGTCCGTTTGGACTTCAGGAGAAGCAGGAGGCTGTGGACTGGTTACTGGGCCTGGCTGTAAGATATGAATACGGAGACAACGGTAAGCAGCAGCAGTAGGTGTACATGTGCAGGGACTGTTGCCTGCTACTACGCTGTAATACCGCTGATGACCATTAGATGGAGACATTGTCAAAAGAATATGTTTTCTAATTATCTGGTGTTGCAAAGCATGTTAAAAACAATCTTTATATCCCTGTGTTATCCTCACATGACACACTAACACATTCTCTATACAATGTTTGCATTGTGTTCGTACTCAGATAAGTATAAGAACTGCAAGCCGCTGGCCGCCTCCAGCGACAAAGCGGTGGACCCTCTCCTCAACCTCGACGGTGAGCAGAAAAACACTCCTCGGCCTGTTCCTTGCGCACATTTTTAATTTCTTCATCTATTTGTTTTCAAGGTGAAATATGTTTGTTTTCATTTTTTTTTATAGGTAATTGTCCAGATTTCAAAGCAGGAGTGACGGCTCTGGCCAACATCCTAAAGATCCAACGGCATGACGACTACCTGGTCATGCTCAAGGTGTGTCTTTAATATTTTCTGTTTGCTTTTTGATGTCTCTTAATTGTTTGCTCTCAAGACTTTATATACTTATATGTGTGTTTCCATGTGCTCCCGCCAGGCCATTCGTATCCTGATCCAGGAGAGACTTTCTCCAGAAGCCATCGCTAAAGCCAGCCAGAATAAAGAGGTGCTGTAACATTCTGCATCTAGAATGATGTCTAGAGGCATTTCTGTTACAAGAAAACCCTGAAATATATGTGTAACGTCGTTTATGTTGCCGTGTGTCACAGGGTATCCCGGTAACTTTAGACAAGCACGTCTTGGGCTTCGACACCGGAGGTGAGTGCAGGAAGAGCAAATCCAAAAACATGCATCGAGTGCACAAATGTACCCACTAGAAGATAAAAGATGAAATAAATGTTCCCCTCTAGACGCCACTCTGAACGAAGCGGCCCAGATCCTGCGCCTGCTGCACATCGAGGAGCTGAGGGAGCTCCAGACCAGGATCAACGAGGCCATCGTGGCCGTCCAGGCCATCATAGCGGACCCCAAGACGGACCACAGGCTGGGCAAGGTCGGCAGATGAGAGCGAGGATGACGAGGGACGCCAGGAGGGACTGATTCATTTGATTTTGAGGGGGGGTGGGGAGAAGAAGAAAGCTGGTCTTTGTCGGACATACATGAGTTTGTATTTCTACGTGAGATCAGAATTGATGAGATTTTGGGGAGTTTTGTAGCAAATGCAAACCGTTTTTGGTGAATTGGTATTTACGTACTCGTTTGGGCTAATGTGTGGTCTTACCTTGTGCTCATCTCCTCGCTGCCACAACCTCTCCCTCAACAGAAAGCACAGAGGAGCTTCTGAAACATTCAAACTGACGAGTTATATTTGTATCTTTTTGTTTCCAGAGAAAACAGCTGGAAGAACAGGTTGTTTTGAAATGGTTTACATTTGACGCTGTGCGGGTGAATCTATAAATACAGCTGAGCAGAGTTCGTCTCCTGTGCTTCTTGTTCCTCTGTGAAGCGTCAGAACAATCTATGGAAAAACAAGTACCAAGTCACATCTTTATTGTTATAAATATCACATCTTATAAAAAGACAAAGATTTGAAAAGTAGTAGTAAAAAATATTTGGCAAAAGAAAAGTGTCCTTTCATCATGTGTGAGAAACAGATTCGTGTATATATGGCACGATCTGACCCGGAGTCAGATTGAACTGGTTCAGTCACTCAACAGCTGCAATGATTTCACACCCAGAATATTTTTATGGAATTTGAACAACAGTTTAACAGCTCCTCGGTGTCATTCTTCTTTGGCAGAAAACCTACACTCATACATTTTTTAAATTGTTCTGTAGCTTTAAATCGATAGAAAAACAAACAACAAAACTTGCGTACAAAAATACAGTAGAAAAAAACAACAAAAAATGAGGTATAAAACAAATTTACAAAACATTTATTTGGGGGTTATATCTTTAAGGTGAGATAATTGGGGTCTGGGTGAGTGGAGGGGTTGTGAATTTGGTCGATCTGGCAACAGGAAGCCATCTTGCGCCCTGCTGAGTGTCCTTTTATTTCTCTGAGGGACACTGGAGAAGGCACCTTTTTTTTTTTTACGGTGGTCGCCTCAGAACTTTAGCACCAAAAGGACCCTGCAGCTGCCGGTCTGTCGTCAGTGGCTCCCTGAGACACACAAAGTGAAGACATTTAGAGGACAACATATAACCTTGACTTCCATCTCTACGGGAAGTACAAACTTTCTTTTTGTTTAGAGCTCCGGGTGGAAATGAGGAGCTACAGGTCTGAATTTCTCTTCCTGTGTGAATCCGAAATGTGACAGGATGAGAGCTTAAGTGCTTCGGCGGCCTAATGACAGAACAAACAGGCCGTCCGTCCCGAACAAAGCCCTGCACTTAACAACTTGTGGCGACTGGGGATTCTCCCCGTAAAGGGCGCGCGTGTGTGTGTGTGTGTGTTTGTTCAACAATAACAGCCTTTAAGCCTCTCACGGCCGGCTCCCAAACCCCTTAACGAGAGCGTTTTAGAGCCGTCATCACGGCCACAATTACACCGCACGCCGACGTCTTTGAAGCTGTTACTTAGCGCGAGGCTCCGGGGATGCGCAGACGTGAAATTCTGCAGTTCACTCGGCATCGTTGTGACCGAACCGTGTGCACTCTCTTCTGCCGTGAGCAGTTTTTTTTTTTTTGTTTTTTTTTACACTCTCTTGATGGCGACATCTGCCAAGGTGCTACTTTAGGGATCGTCCTGTGTTTAGAGGGGACCGCTTTGTACTTTAAAGGGGTTTTAATACGAAGCTTTGGGAGGACTCGGGGCCATCTGCGGACGTCGAACACATCAAACGTGACGCAAAAGCGCAAAATACAGGTAGAGAGTCTCGGGCAGCTGTGTAATCATTATTCTCATGTCTGTTTCACACACGGGGGGGGGGGGGGTCGGAGCCAGCTGTGTGATGACTGTTTGGTGATGAAACGCAAACGTTGGTTTCATCCGACAACAAAGTTATTGACTTCATGTGCAAACTATTCACTCATGTAGCTTTTTATATTGAGCACTACTGTCGTGTGACAGTATCTTCGTAATGTGGTATTCCATCTCCTCCAGACACGTCTTATGACATATAAAAATACTCTCATCAAATACCTTGTAAAAAAATATAAATATACTTCTCCCTCACTGAAAAACCCAGAATCTATTAATATAGTTTATGAATCTATGATAGTTCAAACTCGCACATGAAGCGTATTTTTACACTCTTGTTTTTCATGCATTGAGTGTGTGCCGCTGCCCGACGTGCAGGTGACCTACACTCAATGCGGTCCCTGAACACATCCTTTTTCAGACACCAACTTGCTGCTTTTGTGTCAGAAGTTTATTTATGCTGTGTTTCCATACGACCCTCTGTAGGGTTAACTATGTTTTCCTGTCTGTGTGGACGCAGCCTTCGGGGGTGGTTAAGGTGACATCTGGTGGGAGTTGACTGATGTGATGACATCACCGCGCGCATGAGCTGGTACACCTTGAAGTCAGAGTGTGTGTGTGTGTGTGAGAGACAGGGGGCGTTTGGTTGTTGTTACACAGCTTTAATTACACATGTGAGCCGAGTGTGAACAGAGTGCGGGTGACAGAGAGTGATAGTGTGTGTGTGTGTGTAGGATTCAGTCACTTCACAGTATACCTGATAGACAGTGGGTGGTGGCTATTGCGATGCCGTACAGGTGAGAGCGCTGGTCGGGCAGGTACTCGTCGGTGATCTGGCTGCTGTCTTTGTTCACCGCGATCACTCCGTCCCTGGGGGGGGGCGAGACACAGAGAGAGACACTGAGGACAGGGGGGAAGGGCGGGGCGTCGCAGCGATCAGCTGACTGATCAGCGCTCAGAATTAAAGACAACATGGAGGTGGAGGAAGGTGGCTACCTCCTCCAGTCAGTGTAATAGAAGTGGTTCTTGTAGTAGACCATGCTGAACGGGTAGTTGAGGCTCGGGTGGACCACTCTTCGGCCCGAACCGTCCGGGGATACGCACTCTAAGCGCTTTGTACCTGGAGAAAAGGAAAACATGTGTATGAGGTGGCAGCTGTGCAGGATTGTTTTTGGGGGGGTCAATCCATCCCCAGTGGAAATGATTTCAGGGTCATCGATGGTGGTGTTTACCTGCGTCGGCCCAGCAGACTTGTCCAGAAGACGAGTCGTACGTGAGGGCGTTCGGCAAACCGATGCCGTCAGACACCACCACCCTGCGGTTCTGTCCGTCCACTGACGCGCTCTCGATCTTCGGAGCCTCTCGGTTCCAATCGGTCCAGTACAGAGTTCTAGAGAGACGGAGGGGACGGAGGGATTATAGAGCGCGGTGTTTGCGTCCCGCTGACCACTTTAAAGCGGACACGTTTTTGCAGCTGTGTGTCTTTTTGAAACTCATCGCTGCAATCTGGCTAATATAACGAGACAAGAGGAAAACCACACACACACACACACACGAGTGGGCATGTAAAGGTACACAGGGCACAGGGCTCGAGGGACCATCTGCCTGATGCTGATGAGGTCACGGTCAGGTTACTCTGAGCAATGTGCGACCTCTGACCCCCGGCTCTCTCCCACTGCATTTTTTCGGTTTCATCTGTATACACCAGGAAAAATGGACCACACAACGGCTGACCCAAAATAGACACATTGTTCCCTTTCAAACAAACTTTCTGCTTCATCATTTTCATGAATGCGACCAAATCAAATCATATTTTATTGTTTGCAACATTTCAAAGCTGCGCTCAGCGGGATGATAACAGGCGGAGTGTGTGTGTGTGTGTGGGCTGCCTTTCGTCTGTAGATGATGGTGTA